GGGTCCTCACACACCCGTTACAATAAGTGTATATATGGATGCATGGAAGTATATATGCATGGGGCGCACACTCTACCAGGGGAGCTTCCAGGGCATCCCAGCTGATGGGAAATTCATTAGTTTAGCTATTTTCCTGCTTTTTGGCCCCAGTGTGGTTTCGTTTTAAATGTCATCTTTATTCTCTTTAATGGTGCTTTCTTGCCCCAAGTTGTTAAAATTGTTCAAAAAATATTCAGATTAATTTGAATGCTTTTCCTCATCTTTTTTTTTTTACTGAAAAAGACACCAAGAAAAACTGGTGAAAGGGAGAGTAAGGTTTGGTACATGGTGCTGCTTCAAAGTCACTCAGACTGCTTTCAGGGGGGTTGCAGTGTGCTGACTACTTTTGGAAACACAGTTTTCTCTCATCCGTTCTGGTGTTTGATATATGGCTGCATATTTCCTGCTGCTGTCAGTCATGGCTCATCAGCTACCGTATAAACAGGCTGATTTGTAATGAACTTTCTCCAAACTTATCCTTTTTTCTTGTGATTTCATTTGTTATGCCTTTATTGTGTGCATGAAGGATTCAAGCAAAAGTGAACTATTGCTTGTGTAGAAACCCCAGATTTGTTTCACTGTTAGAAGTTGTGCTCCCTTTTTCTTACGTGCACTCTTTAAGGGCCAGTATGTAACATTTAGGAGGATCTATTCATCTATTGTTGTTTTCATTAGTGTATAATCACCTGAAAATAATGATCATGTTTTTGTTACCTTAGAATGAGCTGTTGCACAGAAGGAGAGGGTGAGGTGAGGGAATTGCAATCAACACTGCTAGATGCCACTAAATCCTACACACTGGTCCTTTAAAACAGATATTCTGCATTGCTGTCTACTCTCCGGTTACCAGACATTCTCAGAGCTAACCAATCGCCTGGGGATTTCTAAATGTAGTTGTTTGAACAGTGGCGGAAACAGACGTTAACAAACATATGCTTTACCTGAAACAATGCTCTCCCCCATTCTCCTCCACCGTGAAACAAACTGGAGATATAGCAATTCACATCAATACAGCTTTTTAAAACAATGAAAATGGATGTCCTGATGTTATATGGTACCACAGTGTTTACAAGCACACAACTTCTGCATGTTACCGCATAAGGTGGATCTATTGGGGTGGCAGTTGTCAACCCTAAAGAATGCCAGGCCACCCTAGCCGCCACAGCAGTTTTGTATCAAATGTAACACATTTATTCAGATTTATTTATTTAAAAATAACAGAAGAGGTTCTCTGATAGCTCACCTGGTACGGCTGGTGCCCCATATATTAAGGCTGAGTCCTTGCTGCAGCAACCATGGGTTCGAATTCAACCTTTGCTGTATGCCTTTATTCTATAATGCAGGTAGTCTCTAAATGTTTCCAGTTTTAGTAACAAAAGCTGAGAGAAAGTCCTCAGTCTCTATTGAGCAAAGCGTTTAGAGTCTAGGTTCAGTCAAACCCTTTCGTCTCTGACCCTAAAGAGGAATGGTTCAACCTGACAGCATCACAAAAATAGAAAGCCAATAAAATCTATAATGAATGGATTTATCAGGATTGGTCTTGAATATTAAACATGTATCATATTGTATCAGAAAGGAAATGGATATGTGGCCTTATTTCTGTCATAATCCTACAAGTATGTGTGAGGGAGGACTCTATTTTTATATGACAAAACAGGAAATCTGTGTTATTTTGCATGCTTACTTGGCTGATATGCTGCCAATGATTGTACTTGTTCAGAAAATCTGTATCTTTCTTTATATCTGAAAATGACTTCAAACAACATTCCTACATGTGCTGTGCAGGAGTGTTCATTCTATTTCTACTGTTATTGTGTACAGTATACTTGAAGGAACTGCCAATGTAATAATCCAAAACATATAGCAGATACATAAATAGTAGATTAATAGATTTGTATCACAGTGTTTAAAACATGCATGCATATGTGTGTTATGACATGTACACCAACCCAAAGTCACATAACTTATTGGATATTTTTGTATGAAGCATGTTGAGCTTTCTATACAGTGTGTACAGTATTACTTCATTACACTGACAAACAATATACTGCTCACTGCTTCTCCCCAGTCTATGTGCTCCATACAGCCTACATGTAGGTAAAATGTAAATTCATCTAAAGTGATGTACAGGATATTTTGTGAACAGTCTTCCTTCCTTCCGTTTTGTTCCTCTCTGATACTCTGTCTTTGATTTTGTCTCCATTTGGTCAGAGTTTAGTTACATGTTTGTCAGTGTTTTCTAGCTTTTGCTTAGAAACCAAATAAAGATGTTATATAATGCTCATCTATAGTCTGAACCTAGCATTGTAGTCTGTTTCTATGTATTTATTGGGTTATGTTAGGGACTGTACAGTTAAAACTCTTTGTAGTAGGTTGTAATGTTCAGCCAAAGTTTAAACCTTTTGTGACGTTACCCATTGGTTTGTGGAGTACCGTTACGAGGCCTCGAGTTCGACGTTGAGCTCGTCGCCATGTTGTTGGAGCCAGTGGAGGTGACGTACTGCGAGTTGAGCTGCTCTCTAGCTGCGCAGTTTCGACTTGTCCGTAGCAGGAAACAATGGCGGCTCGTATTACAGATAAACAGTAC